AAGTCCATCAGCACCCGGCTTTGCTTCCTCAGTGCCGGGGGCTTGGATTTCTGGAGGGATTTCTTGAGGAGCACCAGATGTCTCAGGCAACTCTGTGGTTTGAACTGGTGCTGTGCTCTGAGGAGGCAGAGAGTTCTGTTCCCCGGAGATGGACGAATTTCTCTTTGTTTTGCTCTTCTTCCTTTTCTATTAAAGAAAGAGAAACAAAGACCACAACGTCTGTTTATTCATTGCCAAAGGGAAACTCTTTGTCACCTCCTCCATTGCAGCAAGTACCGACATCCTCCTGCTATGGGGGTAACAGAAAACCATCAGGAAGGGGGGAGACAAGACCAGCCAGTGAAATGCAAATAACTCTCGAGAGCCGGTGTAGGTTTAATATTCCAGACTTGCTCAGAGCAGTGCTGCAGTGTCTAAGCTGACTTGTGTAATTTGTGGTTTCCCCCGGAGCACAGCTCAGCAAACACAGCGAGCTCTCCTGGAGGAGGCCGGGCAGCAGCTCCCCGAGGTGGCCAGGGGGATGTGGGGGATGCAGCCCTGGCTCCTCACTTCCCACCAGGTCACAGCTGCTCCCCAGCACGCAGCAGCAGCCTCACCTTCCTCACAGGAGCCACCTCAGCAGGGTCACCAGCCCCGTGCTCTGTGCTGTCCTCTGCAGCTGTGACATTCTCCAGCAGCGAGGATCCCTCTTCCTCTCCCTGTATCCCAGCAGAGGAGGGGGATCCAGCAGCACTGCCGGGTGTGGTGGCTGAGGTGCTGGGCAGAGCTCCTGCTCTGTCCATCAGCAACTCGCCCTCTGTCTCCTTTGTTTCAGTGGTGGAACAAGGCCCAGCAGCAACTTCTCCCTTCACCTCTTCCTCTGCATCAGGGGCTGGAGGGAGCTGCACTTCTCTCTGCAATGGAGGGAAATTAATTGTTAACCTGGACCCCCCCGGTGGGGTCACAGGATGGTTTGGGTTGGAAGGCACATTAAAGCTCATCTCCTTCCACCCCTGCCACAGGAAGGGGCACCTTGCACTGGTCACTCCAAGCCCCTGGATGGGTGAGAGAATCAGAAAAAAAGGGAAAACTTGTGGTTGAGATAAAAACAGTCCCATAGGATAGAAAAAGAAAGGAGATAATGATGAGAGCATATCCAAAGGCAGTGATGCACAGGGTGGTTGCTCACCACCCACTGAGCAATGCCCAGCCAGCCCCTGAGCAGTGGCCGTCAGCCCTCGGCCAAACCCCCCCAGGGTTTCCTTCAGCACGATGCCCTGTGCTCTGGAACATCCCTCTGGGCACGGGGACAGCTCTGCTGGCTCTGCCCCCTCCCAGCTCCTGAGGAGTCCTTGGCTCAGTGTAAGCACTGCTCTGCAGCAGCTGAGCCATCAGGCTCTTATCAACAGGAGTCTCATCCTGAATCCAAACACCGCTCTGAACCAGCTCCTGGGAACAACAAACTGTCCCAGCCAGGGGCAGGACACCGACACACAGGAGCTGTTCCCTGTTCAGCTCCCACCACTCTCCCTGTACAGCCCCCTGCCCTCCCCAAGGCCCTGCCAGCTGCAGAATAATTAAGGAACCACAGCACCAAGGTACAGCTCCATCCCTGGCCCTCCTGCAGACACAGTGCTGGCAACCAGCTGCCTGTGCCAGTAGCCCAGGATAAGCAGTGAGAGGACAATGGCACGTCCCAGCTGGCACAGCCTTCTGGGCTGGCACTGTGACTGCTCCCACTCAGCTGAGGCCTTTCCAGGAAGGCAGAGGAAACTCCCTTTTTATCTCCACAATGCTTCAAAAGCCTGTGGAAGGGCAGCTTTGGGCACAGGCAAGCAGCAGAGCAGATACCTCCTCGTGCAGTGGTTTCACAGGTTCCTCCACACTGCCTCTACCCCAGTTCTGAGAGCAACAGCTTTGAACATCAGCTACTTTGGATGTTCTTCCTACAGCATTTCCGAGCTGGAGATGCCACGTTTGTTACCCTGCCATGCTGGAGTGCAGAAGCATTTGCTAAGAACTGACCCTGCCAGGCCTGCAGCAGCTGGATTCTGATTTACTGTGTTTTTCTAGGACCCCACTTCTCTCTGTCAGCAAACCAAAAGCCATTCTGGTGGCCCAGGTCGTTCAGTTCTAAACAAGTAAAGGATTAGGAAACATTTCCCCAGCATAACCGTGTTGTGTACTTGGTTCTGTCTCTGTTCAGAGAGGCAGAATTAGTGTGCTGCCAAACACAATTCAGGGCAAGTTCTAAATCTAACAAGTTGCAAATTGGAGATTCTGTGTGAAGAAGGACTCAAGCAGTGTTTTACCAGCATTGCTTCATTGGCAAAACAGAAACCAGTTCAGCCCTGGAGACCCGAGTGTGGAGACCATGTGTAGGATGTGTCACCAAGCGCATCACTTCTGCCTCCCGACAGTCACCGCACAGTGATGAAAACTCTCTCTGGCCAGGAATGCCAGGGGAGGCTGAGATGAGGGACTGGGAGGAGAGTCTGGGAGGAGAGCGGTGTGGCCAGCCCAGGGCAGGGCAGAACAGAGCCCCACGGGTGGCAGCCCCAGGTCACTGTACAGCCCCGGGTCAGTGTACAGCCCCAGGTCACTGTACAGCCCCAGGTCACTGTACAGCCCCAGGTCACTGTACAGCCCCAGGTCACTGTACAGCCCCAGGTCACTGTACAGCCCCAGGTCACTGTACAGCCCCAGGTCACTGTACAGCCCCAGGTCACTGTACAGCCCCAGGTCACTGTACAGCCCCAGGTCACTGTACAGCCCCAGGTCACTGTACAGCCCCAGGTCAGTGTACAGCCCCAGGTCAGTGTCCAGCCCCGGGTGGGGGTAC